ACGGAGCCGGAGATCATCACTCAGTCTCTATCCCTGGGTGAGCTGTATGAGCTGCAGAGAGAGTTCACCTGCCAGGTGAGTGAGTCCATTCTGACCTGGCTGCTCCCCATCTGGGACACCTCAGCTAATGACACTATGCTGAAAGGACATGAGGCTGGGCGACTGTGATCACTGTCCTGGGATGTGGTCATTGACGAGGGGATCAGATAAACTCGGGAAACTCTCAGCCTCTGGCAGTGGCTACTGGCAAGTATAAGAGATAAAGAGAACGTCTATGTGCAACAAGGAATATGGAGCACAATGGAACAAGGCATCCAATGCCTGAAGGGATTGGCTTTGCTTGAGATAATTTTTCAGAAGATGAAAGATTCCCTAAGAGCCCAGGCGGTGTCCAGTGCACATCACAAATGTGGTTGAAGTTCTCATGATTCGGACCAGATATATACTCCCAGTACTTAGCAACACTGTGATGGAAGGAAGAAGAGGATATGGTGGGTGCATTGGTCAACAAACTAAGAATTTACAAGGACGCTGTCACTGCCCTGTTAAGCAGCTGAGCGGATCTGGAGCTTGGAAGAGAAAATAGAAGAGGGCCACAAGAAACTGAGGAAGGAGCTTAAGGAAGGAATTTACCCCATCTTGCCAGAACCAAGAAGAGTCTCTGCCATTAGACCTGGTGTCCCCCAGCCAATGAGAGAGGACACACTCCATGAGGTAACCTCTGGTTTTTCCTTCAGGAGCATGGAGAAGATGTGAAGGAGTGGGATGGAAATCCCACCTCTTGCCTAGCCACCGGCATACATGAACTGAAAGGAGGAGCAACGATGGCAAGAAGCTCATCTAGGGTCAACACTGCTCTGGTCTCTCATAGACAAAGACTCCAGGTGGTAAAGGAATGATGATATGACTGACTCTCTTGAAGGGACCTCAAGGTCATATTTACAGGAAGAGAGCAATGTGTACCATGTCTGGGATTAGAGGGGACCCTGCCTCTAGCCAGGTGGAGAAAAGGGACAATCAGATCTATTGGATCTGATCCGATGGCTGGGCATGTCTGACCAACAAAGGTTTATGGTTTTGGTTGACACCAGCACTCCGTGTACCCTGATGTCATCAAGGTGTGTGGGAGTGGAATCCGTTTCCATTTCTGAGGTGTCAGGGGGATCCCAGCAGCTGACTGTATTGGACACTGAAGTGAGCTTGACTGGGAAGGAGTGGCAGTAATTGTGACTGGTCCAGAGACCCCGTGCATCTTTGGTATAGACCATCTCAAGATCCAAGAGGACATTGCTGGGCTTTTAGGATAGGTGGTCTAGAGACAGAGGAAATCAGACAACTGAATACCCTTCCTGGTCTCTCAGACAACCCCTCTGTTAAGAGTGAGACTGCTAAGAGTTGAAGAACAACAGCTGCCAATCACTACAGCAACAGAGCACCATTGGCAATACTGCACCAACCGAGACTCTGTGATTCCCATCCATAAGATGATTTGGGAACTGGAGAGCCAAGGGGTGCTCAGCAAGACTCGTTCAGCCTTTAACAGCCCTATATGGATGGCACATAAGTCCAGTGGAAAATGGAATCTGACAGTGGATTACCGTGGCCTGAATTAAATCATACCACCACTGAATGCTTCTGTGCTGGACATGCTGGAGCCTCAGTACAAGCTGGAGTCTCAGGCAGCAAAGTGGCATGCGACCACTGACATTACCAATGATTTTTCTCTGTTCCTTTGGCAGCAGAGTGCAAGCCCCAGTTTGCCTTCACCTGGGGGAGCATGCAATATACTTCAAATAGACTGCCCCAGGAGGGGAAGCAGAGTTCTACAGTCTGCCATGGACTGATTCAGACTGCACTGGAAAAGAGTTAAGGCTCCGGAACATCTGCAGTACATCGATGACATCATCATATCAGGGAACACAGCTGGGGAAGTCTTCGAGAAAGGAGAGATTATCCAGTTTCTCCTGAAAGCTTTCCATTAAATGAAGTAAGATTAAGGGACCTGCTCAAGAAATTCAGTTTCTAGGAGTGAAGTAGCAAGATGGACATGGCCAGATTTCAACAGAAGTGATTAACAAAATAACAGCTATGTCTCTACCAACTAACAAGAAAGAAACACAGGTTTTCCTAGGTGTTGTGGGCTTTTAGAGGATGCATATCCCAGAGTACAGTAAAATTGTTAGCCCCCTCAATCTCATGACACAAAAGAAAAATTATCTCCAGTGTGGCCCTGATCAGCAAGTTTTTGAACAAATGAAACAGGAGATTGCCCATGCAGTAGCCTTTTGGCCAGTCGGAAAGGGCAGGATGTAAAAATTGTGCTCTACACTGCAGCTGAGGAGAATGGTCTTTCCTGGAGCCTCTGGCAGAGATCTGTGGAGACAGAGGATGACCACTGGGGTTCTGGAGTCAGGGATACAAAGGATCTGAGGCCAGCTATACCCCAACTGAGAAAGACAGACATTCTTACAGCCTACAGATTCAAGCCTCAGAGTTCGAGCCACCTCAGAAGTGATTGGCACTGAAGCACAGCTGTTTTTTTTTTACCCTGACTACTAGTGCTGGACTGGATGTTCAAGGGAAAGGTTCCTTCTACACATCATGCCACTGACTCCATGTGAAGCAACTGGACCATACTGATCACTGTGAGCCTAGACAGGAAATCCTAATTGCTCTAGGATTCTGGAAATCATAACAAACTGGTCTGAAGGTGAGAGTTTTGGACTGTCTTCTGAAGAAGAAAGGAAACAGATGATATGTGCTGAGGAGGCCCCACCATATAACCAACTACCAGAGAATGAAAAGCGGTAACACCTTCTTCACCAATGGTTCATGCAGAATTGTAGGAACAAACCAGAAATGGAAAGCTGCTCTAAGGACCCCTGCACAGAAAGCTCTAGAAGCTACTGTGGGACAAGACGGGTAAGTCAACTTGCAGAGGTTAAAGGCATCCAGCTGGCTTTGAATATCACTGAATGAGAGAAGTGGCTGAGACTCTATCTCTGCACTGACTTGTGGATGGTAGCTAATGCTCTGTGGGGATGGCTGGATCAGTGGAGAAAGGCCAAGTGGCAGCGCAGGGGGAAATCCATCTGGGCTGCTGAGATCTGGCAAGATGTTGCTGCCTGGTTAGAGAAGCTGACTGTGAAGGTCTGTCACATCGATGTACGTGTACCCAAAAGTCAGGCTAATGTAGTAACAATCAGCAGGTAGATTGAGCTGCCAAGATTAAGGTATCTCAGAGGGATCTGGACTGGTAGCACAAAGGAGAATTACTTCTAGCTTGTTAGGCCCTTGGTGCCTCCAGTCATCAGGGAAGAGATGGGACATACCAATGGACTTGTGACCAAGGGCTGGACTTCAACATGGACAGTATGTCACAGGTCATCCATGACTGCAAGACTTGTGCTGCAATCAAGCAGGCCAAGCGGATGGAGCCTCTGTGGTATGGTGGACAGTGGTCAAAGTATAGGTACAGGGAAGCATAGCAGATGGACTACATCACCCTTCCCCAAACTTACCAAGGCAAGTGCTGTGTGCTAACCATGGCAGGGGCAACTACTGGATGGCTGGAGACCTACCCTGTGCCTCAGGCTGCCGCCCAAAACACCATCCTGGGCTGGGAAAAGCCATGGAGACATGGCACCTCTGAAAGAATTAATTCTGACAACAGGACTCATTTCAAGAACAGCCTTATAAACCCCTGGGCTAGGGAACATGGCACTGAGTGGGTGTACCATATTCCTTATCATGAGCCAGCTGCTGGGAAAGTTGAACAGTGCAATGACCTGCTTAAAACCACTTTAAAGGCACTAGGTGGGGGGACCTTCAAAAATTGGGAGCTGAATTTAGCAAAGGCCACCTGCTTGGTCAGCACCCAAAGCTCCATCAGTCGAGCTGGTCCTGCCCAGTCAGAACCCTTGCACTCTGTAGATGGAGATAAAGTCCCTGTGGTACACAGGAAAGGTATGTTAGGAAAGATAGTTCGAATTAATCCCACCTCAGGCAAAGGCAAATCCATCCATGGGATTCTTATTGCTCAAGGACCTGGTTCCACTTCGTGGATAATGCAGAAAGATGGCAGAACCTGTTCTGTACCTCAGTGGGACCTAAGTTTAAGTGAGAACTGTATGTGATGCTTCATTGTGTATGTGTGTATATATATAGAGTTAAAGAAGGGCATTAATTTGGGTATGATGTAGATGGAGACAGTAAGGGGAGGATAATGTCTTGGGTTACAATGTAAGGTGTCACCACAGTATGTATTCTACCACCACCAAGTCACCTTCTGATGAGCTGTTAATGGCAGGTCCTTTGTAACAGCTGCATGCCCCACCTATGACTCGGGTGTAATGTTCTCTTTGTTACACCCAGCCTGAGGGTGGTCACCTCTGCTAATGCACCATCAAGGACTCCCCAAAATATGCTATGTCTCATAGGATTACATCATTCCATGGTGTAATTCCCTGCCCTGGGGGAGGTACTGAACATTCCTGCCTGGATTTGAGGGTGTGAGCCACCACTGGACCCCCAGGGAAGGCCCAGACCTTTCCACAGGACCCCTGCTTTGACAAGTCGACATCCATGATTTCAATGGGAGTGCAACCACCGTTTAATTAGACTGCCAGCACCACCACCCTGACCAACAGAGTGCCCAGTTGTACTCTGGCTTTTTCAGTTTCAGTCAGTGTTTCTGTACTATTGCCTTTATTGTAACTTTCTTATTAAATTGTATCTCCATCTGGAAATCACTTGCAAGGTATTTGTGTGGGGTTAATTCCTCCTTCTAGTTTATGTTCAAACCAGCACAATTTACAATAAGAAAATGGGACAAAGTACAATGTTCTGATACAGCCAAAAAAACAAGTTCTGATTTCAATAAATTCAACTCTGTGCTGAGTACCTTACAAAGTTTTGAATTTAGTAAAATATTGAGTGCCTAGGGAACTTTATTAATTTTGGAGTCTGGAAGATCTTACAAATATTAAATATCTTTGCAGGAACACTTAGTCAGTCTGGATGAGCCAGCCTCGGAAGCTGGACAAGAAGCTCTGCTTAGACAAGAGCAAGCAAAAATCATTCGTTTCGAAAGGCAAGCGGAAGAGTTCCTCAATGCAGTCTTTTACAGAAAAGGTTGGTTTTAATGGTGGGAGGAGGATGCGGGAAATGGTCTCTCGTGTGGTGTTTTTGCATGCAATGTAGGTATCAGAGATCTGATGTTCAAGCTGTATGTTCAGTATTTTTCAATCATCTTCTTCATATATATTGATCAGTGATAAAAATTCTCTCTCAAATGTGGGCTTGGGACTTCGGAAGAGAGCTTAACTGTTTAACCCTAAACCAAATCTCTCCATGAGAAAACTGGTGTTTTCACTTTGGGAGAGATGACTCATTTCTTACCCTGCAGAACTGTTCCCCATAACCAGTGTTTAGGTGAGTGGGCTGTTTGGAAGAAAGGTCAAGTGGCAGTGGTGGTAGTAGGTGGGTAATGTGTTTTTTTTAAAAATATTTATTTTATTTTGATGAGATATGTACTAATGCAGTTTTTCTTAAAGGTCATCAGTCTTTTCACTGTTGGTAATGATTACCCACCCTATTCCCAACAATCTAGAGTATAAAATATTATTGGAATAGTGCTCAGGGGGATGTACGAAGAATTCAAAATGTGATCAGCGAAAGAATTGCTTTAGATATGCTGAGAACATGCTCAATGCTAGAAAATCATTTAAGTATCTTCTGGAGAGTTGTTACTTAAACTATGCTCTTAAGGAAGGCATAGAGCTCATTTCACTGTTTTATACAAAATCTGAGAAACATGAATCCAGAGGTTGCTTCCAAATGCATCCTGAATGAAAGTACATCATACTTATCAGTCTAACCCATGTGTGAGAAAATCTGCCAAATCAGTAATTCCAACCTATCTGCTGGGGGACAATGCAAGGCTTCAGTGTAACAAATTAGAAATTGCTGTAGCCAGTCCTCAGCCCTTCTTTCCAGTGACCAAAATATTTAAAGGTGTTTTAAGTAGATAACAGTATCTTAGCCTTTCTTTTATGACTCAAATGAATAAATACAAGCTATACATTGTGATGCTTCTATACTTTTTGTAATACATGCAGGATGGTAGGAAGGATAGTTACTGCATTACTACTGATAATTCAGATAATGCCTTTATTCTAAGGCTTCCTTTTCAAGTTTTCTTTTTTCTTGTAAGGTTAATGTTTCCTTCTGCTTTGAGTTTATCCTGTTTATCTTCAAATCCAGAAGGAATTTAAGAAAACTAAAGTGTAGAGAAAGTACAGTTTTTTCCATATTGCTATTTCTGGTGAGGAAAAAAAAAAAGTCCTTCCATAATTTCCAAATTGTTTATTAAAGACTTCATTCCTTTACCACTAAACTTAAATCTTTGACACGTATGTGTGTGTGTCTTTTAGGAAAGTATGCTTTTTAAAATTCATTGGGGAGCCAGCAGCAGATATTGCAGTGTGCTAATGAAGGGTGTAATACTCTCTCCATGGCTGGATACCCAGAATAAAGATAATGGAATGTCAGATGTCTAAAAATCTTTGAGAATTTTTAAAAAATATACCCTTGTTTTCCTTCCTTGGACAAAGCTGTGCTTGCTGCAAGAGCAATAGGTGAGGGGTAGAAGCCTGTCAGGAAGTCAGTTCTGAATCCATGATTTTCAAGCTTGCCTGTATTTAGATTGCTTGAAGTCTAACTCATGCTACTGTTATAAGATCCCAAGGCACTGTCATACCAAAGAGGACACAAAGAATGGCAGAACTCTGACATTCCTACATTGCTCAGAGATACTGAGCTCTTCTGGCTTCATGCCAGCAATTAGTTTTTTTTCTTCTTTCCATTCTCACTGCCAATAACATTTGAGATGGGTATTTTATAGCCCAGGTAGATGAGAGAAAATGCAGATGCTCTCTGAACACTGGCCACAAATTCATGTACTGAACATGAATTAGGAATTAACAAGATCAGCAAACATGTTTACTGTCCATTAATCTTAGTCCTTTCTCTGAAATTTGTGTCCCTGGCACTCTGACCCAGTAATGCTTCCTTCAAATAATCATTTTTTCCAGTGAAAGCAGAGTGGTAGTACTTAGTTGTCTGTTACCTTTACTTTGTAGCAGGACAGGACCTTCTTCTGGTTTAATGAAATCATACCTTTATTTGTTTGATACTGCCCTTTTAAGATTTTGGTATAAAAATACACAAAAGGTTTTAAAGCTCAGACATACTCCTTTAGACTATATATATCTCATAATTTTTTGCTGTATTTTTTCTTCTCTGAGAATTTTTATGTTTTAGTTAATTTTCATTACATTTTCTTAAAAAAACCTGGACAGCTGGAGTCAAGATAAATATCTGGTTGATTTCAAGTGATGCTGGAGGGGCACCAGCACATGTTTTCCACTCACTTTTGAACAGCTTTAATCCTCAGCATTCAGGCTTTATATTAAGCAAGAAGCCTTTAATGTGCTAGGTACCTACTCTTGTGCTTAAAAATTGAGTTTTGTGACCTGAATTAGTGCATTTATCTTGAACAGCACTAGAAAGTTGTCATTCTGGGCTGATTCTTTGAAGTTGCAGATTACAAGGATGCATGGCTGTAGGCATATGTAATGTTTTATTTCTGAATATGTAAATATGTTCAGATATAAGCATTTTTGAAATGAACTTATGAAGTGCACAGTAGAGGTCTGAGTCTTCATTCAGAAACCACAAGTGCCATAGAGCTCTGCATTCCTGCCAGCCCCGCTTGTATATGCTGCAAGGACATGTCAAACAGTTGGTATCCATGTGATTGTGCCATCAAATTGTGTCCCTCTGGGCCTCCCTAGAGCCTTTCTTTGTCCTTCAGGAGGTTATAGTGAAGAGATTGAAATAGTAGAAGAAATGCCACCACAGCAGAACAAAGCCTCCACGCTTTTCCAGGCTGGTGTCCTTGTGGATCACTTGGGAAGCAAGTGAGATTATAAATACCAAAATTTAAGTTTGGCTCCTTTTTTGGTGTCTTCTTAAAACTGTGGTATTTGATACTTATCAACAAGTAAAATCTACAGGATGTTTCAAAGAAAATGGTTACATATTTACATAAACCTCCTGGAAATGTATAAATTTACAGAAATTTACTGTAAGAATGTACATGCTGACTGTATAAGATCTTGAGTGTAGAAAGCTGTGCTTAACAGAAAAGAATTTGGACTTGATAAGTATTTAAAACTCAATATGGTGTTTCATCAAAAAACAGACTGCTACTGCTGCTCTTTAATTTGTGGGCAGCTCTGCTCAAATCTTCATGTCAGTAATCTTTCATACATACAGTAAAGCTGGTTTGTTGGATTGATGTACTTTTGACAAAAATGGTGGCGAAAAGGAAATCTAACACTGAAAGGTCCCACAGAAGATTTTGCTAATTCTAGTAGCTCACTCTCAATAGATTACCTTTCAACCTGGGCAATTTTTTAAAAAGAGATAGTAAACACTTCTCTATTGCTCCCTCTTGAGAGCTGCTTTTTAAGATTTGTTTGGTCTTCTGCTGTACAGTTTTTTTCTGAATGTTTCTTTGGTAATAGAAAATCAAACCTTCTGAGCCATTTCTGGAATAGTGGTGTGGTTGTCTGTGCTTTGGAGTTTTTTGGGAGTATTGTGGGTGGTTGGTTTGTTGTTGTTGTTTGGGTTTTTTGGGGTGTGGGTTTGTTTGTTTGTTTGTTTTAAAAAATCCCAAATTGATTTGGCCAGAGAACACAGTGTTTCAAGTGAAGTGGAAGGACTTAGCTTTTGTGATTTAGGAGTTACAGATTTACTTTCATTTCACAAATTATTACTGGTCTAAAATAGTGGTTTTTGTCAATAAATTTTTTGGGTTGCCCACATGCCCAGATACCTTTTTTATTTATACACTATTTAGTATAAATAAATTGGAATGCCTAGTTGTTCTATTTCACATCCATTACTAATAGATTTAGCAGCTCTTCTAGAAATAGAATTATTTATCATGTGACACATCTTGGGGTTTTGTGTATATGCAAGTTCTTTGGGTAATTCGTGATCCTGCATTGATTACAATGGTAGAAATATCAAAAGGAATAAATAGAATGAGATGGAAGACACTTGAACATTTGATCTTCATATGAATAACTTTAAATGATCAGAACTATAGGGCTTTATTTCTCAGTAAACTTATAGGGGACTGCTGCAACTTTATTCTCCATTTTACCCTTCTGTAGCTGCAGGTAAGTTATGCACTTCCACTGTATAACCTGTTCAATGTTTTTGGATGAGCTCCCTTACTTGGCACTTTAGCTCTCCTTTCCATTTCCACACCTCTTAAAGGTCTGGTCAAATATATCTATATTTTAAAACAAAATATGAGATTCAATATGTCTTTTAGCAAAGTGTTATTTTTAGAAGGCTGTACCAGAATTAGCAATGGTTCTTATTCAGGTATTTAAGACTAAAGTACATTTTCTACAGAAACTATTTTATCTTTGGCTTTTTTTTTCCCCTGGATTTTTTTTCGTAAATAAACAATGACTTAATATAAAAGCTGTTTTACTTAAAGTGCTTCCTTAAAAGAAATCTCTAATATTTGCAGACAGTCCTAGGGTCTCTGACCCCAATATTCCCCTAGTGGCCCGTGAGATCATGCAGCGAATGATCCGACAGTTTGCTGCTGAATATACCTCAAAAAATAGCTCTACTCAGGACTCCAGCCAGCCCAATAGCACAAAGAACCAAAGCCTGCTGAAAGCATCTCTGGTCGCCTCCTCTCCCACGGCTGCAACTGCTCAGAACCCTGTGCTCAGCAAACTGCTCATGGCTGACCAAGACTCACCTCTGGACCTTACTGTCAGAAAGTCTCAGTCAGAACCTAGTGAACAAGGTAGGACTCTTACCAGTGTCTTGCATCCTGTGGCAATCCATTAATGGCATTCTTGTTGCAGAACCAGACAATTAGAAGGTTGCACCTTTGCATAAAATGTAAAGTGGAAAAGCAATAGATGTTTTTACAATAAAATCACTAGTTCAATGTGGCTGGGAGAGAAAAGACTTTTTGAAAGAATGTGGGCCCATAGACATGAGAGATTCTTCTGAAGAAGGGCCAAGGGGATGGACATGCTCTAGACTCTGAGGATAAATGTGCTGTTCTTACTGGGAGCTGCAAGAGACAGTCTGCCAAAATAGACTGTACACTTGCTGATAAGAAAAGTTCGTGTGGTCATGAAAATCATGATGCTGTCTCTTCTCTGAAGATTAGTGCACAGTCTGACTGAAAGGCTGATTTATTTTCTTTTTGGTGGTGTGAGAAGAGTATCTTTTAAAAGTCTGTGAGAAATTGCTTTGTGAAGGCTATAAAAATGTTACCCACGAACTGCACTAAACTTCCAGGTTTGTGCATTTGGAAGAAATGTCTCCTTTCTACCTTAAAAATAGACTTGTTCTGCAGAGCACAGATTGAATAACTTGTAACAGTATTTCAGAGCTTATTTTAATTCAAAAACCTTGCTTTCAATCAGAAATGCCTTTTTTTTTAAAGAAGGAAATTTTGTGGGTTATATAGTATATGAACTTGCCTTTTCTGCAACAGTTGAATCCTAAGTGTATCATACTGATTAAAATTAGACCCTTTACCCTTCTTCAGAAAAATGTTAGTGCTTGAAGTCATTCTGTCACAGTAGGCTGTCCATCTGCAAATGGAAAAGCTGCCTGCAAAAAAAAAAAAAGCCTTTTTCTAGCTAGGGCAGAAGAGTAGGTATCCCTTTATTCTTTTAAATTTGGTTTATGAAGCTTTTTGTAAACAGGTTAGTTTTGTGTGTCTGGTGAAATGCAGCTGGGACACCTGGACATGTACTGCACTTACTGAAAGCTGTTGTTGCACTTCAGTTACAAACTGCAGAGAGAGGTTGAATAGTGTCTCTCTTGAAATGTGGACCTGTACAGTTAGCTGATAGACATTTTTTTCTAGCTGTCTTTATTATAAATGCATTTTGTGGGTGTGTTTTGTACATATGTTTAAAAATGTTCAACTGTTCTCATTGTTAAACTTTTTGCTGGAAGAAAGAGAAAGAGAATCAGTTTTGCTTTGTTCCTTTTTAATTAGAGGGTGGTATGGTGAAGAAGTAAGCATGTACATTAACTGTTCTTTAGCTACCATGTGATGGAAAAAGCTGTAAGATAATGTTCATAACACTTGTTATGGAAGTAGAACATGTGCGTATTGACTTATACAGTAATTTGTTTGCTGATGTAAATTTTTTCCCAATTCACATTTAATGTAATTGGAAAGAGATTTTGCCAATTTGTTAATGAGAGATTTCAGAGGCTGTCATGAAAGATTTCTAGTGGTGCTTTGTGCTGTATTTTGTTCTAGTGACTTGGGGGGAACCCAGCTAGTTGTAAGCTTCTCCCTGGTGGTTGACCCTGCTTCCCCTGTGGGTCATAGTGACCCTCCTGAGGGAGGAAGCATGCATCCAAGTGCCTCCAGCAGCTGCCTGTGCTGTCTAGCCTCTTGAAAAGAAGGAAAGACTTGATCCAGTCTGTGTCTCTTGTGCCTGCATAAGTGTTGTTCAAAAAGAAAATTTAATTTTCTGCTTGCTTAAGTTTGGGTTATGGTGTGTTCCCAAATGCAGTGGGTGGAACAGCTTTCCATAAGTTAATTCTAGTTCACTGTTTATCATGCTTTTTCTCCATATGTCAAATGAGAACTTTAAGCAATCTGAAAGCCGTCTTACATTGTTCCTGTGTTGGGTGGTATTCACTTGATTAGATGGAATGAGTGAGGAGCTCTGGTATGTCTCCAGTTCACCGTGCCAACAGGTTTCATTTATCTTTGCCTCATAAATTCCTCATTTCAAGGCTTCCAGGAACTTCAGATGGCTGGGCTGCTTCAGTGACAAGTTGCCCTTATTAACGTGACCAGAATTTCAAGCTGCTTCAGTGCAGCAGGAGCAAGGCTTTCCTGGTGAAACACACACCCTATAAATGCAGAGTTTATATAACGGTTTGCAGGGGAGCATGGGGGAAACGTGAGGAAGTGCCATTAGTTGAGAGTGGAGGAAGCGGTCTTAGAGGAAAACCAATTTGGCGTAGGGAAGAGAGGGAATAAAACAACACAACAGAGGAGAAAGGCAGCAGCTCTTCCAGTAAGGAACCGTTGGAGACATGAAAAAACATGATGAAGCTGGCTGCCACGTGAGATAGAATCTCACATCTATGTGTGTGTTCATTTAATTTCTGATACGAAATTCTCAGTGAATTTTCCTACAAGAGATTTGGATTAAAAAAAAATAAAAATTGAATGCTGGCTTGCAGCCTCCCTTTGAAAGGGGAAGTATCTCAGGTTGACAAATCTTGAAGATTGTCTCAGTTCTGGACCACTGAGAGATAGCTATGTGATAGGCTCTGTTGTATCCAGAACTGTCACTTGTAAATAATTCATTATGCTATGTCTCTTGTAACAGATGCACTTTTAATTTTGTTAATTTTATTGTGATTTCTGAAGACTACATTGAAGTCACATGTAAACCATATTGAAAAAAAAAAAAAATCCAAGCCTTATTTTATTTAAAAATACAATAAACCAAAAAATGTTGTGTGCTAAAAATGACTTCAGCTCAGAAGATTTGCTTTGTCTTTTCAGCTGAAGACAAGATCAGCATGGCTGATCTTGCTTCTTCAAACACTGAAGTTTTTCTGTTGTCTCTACAGACGGTGTGCTTGATTTATCCACTAAGAAGAGTCCTTGCGCTGGCAGCACCTCTCTGAGTCACTCTCCAGGGTGCTCCAGTACTTCGGGAAATGGGTAAGAGAAAACAACTTACTATGACCTTTTAAAACAATTTTTTACTAAAAATGTGTGCTTAACTCCTGTTAATTTTTTACTTTCTTTTGGTGTTAACCCTTTGGAGTAATGTGTTTTCAGCTTGTACCTTTGGCAAATATCTTCACCCCACCTGCCAAATAAGAGTTGTTACCAACTGAGACAGAGTTAACTTGCAGTTAAAGACTAGTATCTGTTATTTTGGCCAATTTGGTACTTAGCCAGAGATCTTTCCATTACCTGTTTCCTGGGTTTAGTGATAGGTGATTTCTGTGGAGATGCAAGTTCATTTAAATGCATGAAGAGTCTTAGAAGCTTTGCAGTATATTTAGACTCCATTTCACTGAGGGCTAAGTTAGCTAACAGGAAAATTTATTTTAGAGGTAACAATGATTTGGGTCATAAACCATGCTGAATTTGAATTAAATCACCGCATGATTTTTGTTAATATTTCCTAGCATAAACCACAACTTAGAAAAGGACATGGGGCAGGGAGTCAGGTAGTTTGGAAAACTTTAAATGTAACTTTGGATTTGCAGTTCTGTAGTACTGAACAAGTTTTTTTTTTAAAAATAATCACAAAGTGTGTGGTGTACTACTCTTGCCTAATCAGTTCAAGGTGTGAAATACTGTTAAATAAAAAAAAATATCTTTAGGTTTCGTATTTCTAATGGTCACCATTTGCATACATTTAGAAACCCTTTACTATTAGTCAGGGTTGTATGGAGAAGCTGACTGGGACTCGGGGGCTTTGGGTGTTGATTATCTTGAAGCTACTGTGAACAAATAATTTTTGGTCTAAGTAAATAAGTAGTACATGGTTTAAAGTGCTATTAATTGCTGGATTTAGCTTTATAGTAGCCTTTGAAAAACTTAAAAATCTCAACTAGCAACCCTCTTCCACCTCCAATCCCATGTACTGATAACAGCTGATTGAATTTTTGCATTTCTCTCTGGAAAAATATTGCTGTCTCAGATTTCTCCTTTCAAGATTACTTTTCTGTTTAATATTTCTATTAATAAAATACTTTAATCCTTCTTTAAAACTTAGTCTTAATACTTTTTACAATTCTTTAGCATAAACATTCCCCAGCAGCACTTCTCTTTTAATTCTGAACAGGTTATTTCCATCTTTATTTTCCTAGGAAGGCAGCAGAAGCCACTGAGGCTCTGCCCTTGTTTGTGAATCAAGTGAGGGCCAAAGTCCAACACACAGGGATGACAGGGCCAGCATCTGCCACTGTCCTGCTCAGTCTGGTGGGTCCAGAGAGGATGGGGCATACTGGCACCTGTGGTTACTTGTACAGGTGTGTGGTATATGAGGCTGGCTGCAGCTTGTTTAGCATCACTAAGGCAGGTGTAACCCTTTATTAGCTGCCAGTATGACTTTTGTTTAGGTGTAGAATCACTGGTGCACAATGTGACGCTGATACATGCTGTAGAAGGGGTGGAGAATGCACGTTGTCTGAGAGGGTTCTCTGGAACGGCAAACTTTCATCCATTTCTCTAGATTTTGTTCTGAATCCTTGTTGACTTTTGTTGTGCACATCCTATGACTTGTTGCATCCTGGAAAGAAGTGAACAGCATGTGTATCAAGCATTGTGTATGTTACATGCCAGGTTCTTTCCGTGGATGTCTTTTCCCTAAAGACTTTTTTTAACCCCAGTGTGATGTTAAAAATAATAATGTAGCTTTTCAGTACTATGTATCCTATGCTTAAGTAACGCTGATTTAGCCAGAGGACTTTACACCAGTGTAGTGTCCCAGAGCATTAAAATAGATCGTCTTTGTTAATTTGTATGCTGAACGTGGAGAAATTTGGGGGTGGATTTTGAAACCAATGTGACTTAATAACTACAGGGGGCTAAGCAATCAAAGCATTAAAATAGATGTGATTCTCTGCAGCAGTAGTACTTAATTTCATAGAAAAAACACTTGTGATGAAAGGGAAATGGTAAAAATACATACTGCCTTTTTTTTTTTTTGTTAACCCTTGATCTGGATGACAGATGGAGCTTAGATCTTCCTTTTTCTAGGCATACTTCATATCAAATATGATTCAGGGCTGTGTATATATGCAGTTAGTTGTTAAGAGAGCAGTTTGGTAAGTCTAGTATAATGCAGCGTTTTTCTTTGTGATCCGCAGTATCCCAGCTTTCATATTCGGTGCTTGATGAAAGTCAGGCAAATACCTTTGAGGCCTGCTAAGCTTTTTCTTTTATCCTGAGCAGCAGTTCTTCAATATGATGTAAGCAAACATTATCCAGGATTTCCACCTATGTGTAGATACTGCAGGTGGCAGTCATATTTGCATGTTGAATATGTTGCACTTTGGCTTACTCTTTTATTACTGTGCTTGTTTAGTGGTAACGTCACACCAGTAACACAGTTGTGTGTAGATCTATGGCGATTGATTACTACTTTGTAATTAAGGTGCTATTTTCAGACGCGCGAAGTCTTTTCTACTCCGAGAATTTGTGAACCCAACCAGAGACCAGCCAACAGGTTTCGTTTTTCTTTGCCCAAAAAGCTTCTCTTTTTTTGCGAACAAGTTTTAAAACTGACTGATGCTGAGACTTAAAAAAAAAAATTAAAGTAATAAAAAAAAAATTTAGAGAAAAATAAATAACGCAAAAAGTGATGTTACCCAAGCAAGGCCTTCTAATAAAGGAGTGGCCCCCTCACCCATCCCTCCCTACCTGTGCAAGTCCTGCTCACATCAGTTTCCTTCCATCCAATTAGGCGACCTGGGAGACCCAGCCAGCACCATCCGGAGGGACTACAGAGTGGTGATGGGGTACCTCCAAGAAGCTTGCAGGATGGAACCAGGGAAGGTTATGGCCACTCCACATCTCTTAAAGTACCGCTGGCTCGATCACTCCAGATTAGTGAAGAACTGCTGAGCAGAAACCAGTTTTCTACGGCTGCCAGCCATGGGCCATCTGGACTACAGAATCATGGACAGCACTTAATATTATCCAGGGAGGCTTCTTGGGCAAAACCACACTACGAATTCAATTTCACCCGCATGAAATTCAGGGGAAATGGTGCACTCAGCAACATCAGTGACCTTCCTTTTCTTACAGAAAACTCTGCCTTTCAAAAAATGGCACTTCAAACTAAACAGGATGGGAAAAAGGACGTGAGCCATTCATCTCCTGTGGATTTAAAGATACCACAAGTTCGAGGCATGGACCTTTCATGGGAGTCCCGCACTGGTGACCAGTACAGCTATAGCTCTTTGGTAATGGGTTCACAAACGGAGAGCGCGCTTAGCAAAAAGTTAAGGGCTATCCTTCCAAAACAAAATAGGAGAAGTTTGCTGGATGCTGGACCAGATTCCTGGGGCTCAGATGCTGAGCAGTCTACCTCTGGACAGCCATATCCCACCTCAGATCAAGAGGGAGATCCTGGCTCCAAGCAACCTAGGAAGAAAAGAGGGAGATACAGACAGTACAACAGCGAGATACTGGAGGAAGCAATCTCTGTGGTTATGAGTGGGAAAATGAGTGTTTCCAAAGCTCAGAGTATTTATGGGATCCCCCACAGTACACTGGAGTACAAAGTTAAAGAGAGGCTGGGCACTTTGAAAAACCCTCCAAAGAAAAAAATGAAATTAATGAGGTCGGAGGGGCAGGATGTTTCAGTAAAGATTGAATTAGATCCCCAGGGAGAAGCAGCACAAAGTGCGAATGAATTGAAGGATGAATAGGGATGTTGTAGAGTGCCAATTACTTTGCAAACTGGGTGAGCACTACTGCATAGTTCAACCATCACTGAGCGCACCTGAGTCTCCTGTTTACTGCAATGCTCTTTCCTTTGCAGTTTAGCATAGACTTACGTGAACACAGGTGAAAGATGTGCTCTGAATGTCACATTTGTAAATTTTTCTAGCCTGGTATGGCGCAGTTTCCCTCCTTCACCTGCCCACTGCCCTATTTCTTTCTTTCTTCTTTTTTGTTTTCTTTTGCCTTTTGCATGTTTCTCTGTAATAGAGAATTGAGTTACCTCACAAAGAATGCAGATCTGTAGAAGTGGACATCTTGCCTGTAGAGCCTGCCTGAACTTCTGATGTTGGATTTTTCATATCTGCCTTTATAGAAATAAGTCCACTTTGTTAAACTGACACTCTCCTAAAACCAGGCAATTTTCAAATGAAAATCAGACTGTCATTCTTCAAAAATGTTTCAGAAATCTTTTTTTCCCCTCTTATTTTTGTTGATCCAGTTGATTGAAAGATTTGAGCTAAATCAAATTATTTAGGAATGGTATCTCTCTTGAACTCAGATTTGTCAACTAGATAGATAATCAATTGGGTCTAATTAGGCTCTCCACTGTTTTCTTTCTAAATTAACTGTACTTACCATTTGTTGTCTGCTTAGTGCTCACCCGGCGGGGAGGGGAGGGAAAACTTACATACACTACCTTCAGAAAATGTCAGTTAATTATTTATAACACTACCTTCGCTGTAATTTTATTTGGTGTTTTTGAAGGGTGATAGACTCACCTGCTTGAGGATGTAGCCTTATCTCACGGAAGACAAGCTTCTCACAGTCAGGAGCAGTCAGGGTACACTAAATGATGTATTAGGGTATGCCTCATTATACCAGAACTACGGTTCTTTGTGACCTTTACACTTTTGACAGACTTGATTCTGAGTTTACTAAACTATGTGGTCCCAACAGCTAGTTTAAATGACTCTAATCCAGGGATGGGGGATTTGCATAACAAACTACTGTGATACTGAAAAAAAAAAAAAAAAAGGAAAAAAAATAGCCCACAAAATGGTGATCTTAAACGTTACAACCTCAGTAGTCTGCCCAAATATCCACATTAGTGAAGGAGCTTGTTAATGTTCAGGGAAGAATTAAAACACTGGTAGCCTGATCTAATTCAGGCTCTGCATCATGTCTATCTGTAATACTGTCAGGGTCGAACACTCAATTAATGGGTGTTTCCTTTTTAAATATTACAGTTGCCAGTAGCAGGAATTTATTTAAGTCCTGCTTTTTTGTTGTTGTTTTTATTTAATCTATTTTGATAGTGGTTTAGCACATGCTAGAATAAGCATTTGAACACCATTAAAAAAAAGCACTCCATAAACCACAAATCTGGGGTTTTTTTTCCATATGGTGATATCTTTATGATTATATGGAGATCCAGGATAAGTTTTGTACTGAACTTTTATCTTTGATACTTTCTGCGGGAGTGGTCAGTAACTAAGTGGAGCTTACTGGATTTACCACAACATGACCAAATCATAATTGCTGGTTCTTCAGGTAGAAGCAATTTGGTCTTAAATCTGTGCAAAAGGTAGATAGAATTTCCATTTTTTCCCCATTTGCACAGCCAAAAGAAGCATTGGAGTTTCTGTGTGAGAGCATTAAGTGATGTCAGTGAAAGTGGTTTCTCAAAGTTCATGGGAGGGTGGCCTAGGTAGTGCTAGGAATGCTGAATGACTTCTGGAACAGTTGATTCTATTAGCCTGTCCCCCTCCCCAGCAACTTCATATTTTCAAAGGTTAGGCACACCATTGCTGTTGTTTTAAATATGCACTGCTCATTCTTGAAATGGACTGGGCATTTGGACCCGAGTATACTTTATTTTTGTTTACTTAATATATTTTAGTCCTCAAAATCCTGGTTCCTTGTAGCTTTCTAGTTGTCATCTTGGCATTTAAAGCAGTTTAAGCTCAGTAGCAGTATATAAACTCTGCAATATGTTCCAGTTTAGCTGGTGATTGCAATAAAGGTTCAGTTTAAGGTGTGGTTTCATCTGCTGTTGGAGGTTATGGTAGAAAGTTTGTTGCAAATTAAAAAAAAAAGTTACACAGTTTTACTCTTAAGAGAGGTTTAACCTTTTGCAGTTGTCCTTATTTAAGAAACATGAGTTGAGTTTTATAAAACTTGTCACTGTAGTGTACGTGGAGTGCTCATTTTACTAACCTAAATATTTTGTATGTGTATGTTTAAGTGGGTGACAATCGTGCAGCAGAAGAATGGTGTGCCTACCCTTTAATGCTGCAGTTTTAAGAGAGAATTTGTCTTGTCATTTCAGACTGTAGGCTAAGAATTGTAAATAGATAGTGAGAAGTTGAGTACTCTTTATTTGCTTTGGTTAGAAAGTGGATTTAAAATGAAAAAAAAAAAACCAACAACAACAAACCAAACAACTAACTTTCTCAGTTTAAATGTCCTGAGACCTGAAGATTGTAATACTCATAACTGCAAAGCTTTTAAACACAACACTTGATCTGTGATAACTTAATATTCAGGTAATCTTTCTTTTTCGAGAAGCTTTTGAACAACCATATTTCCTCCAAAGGTCTCTGTTTAAAAAGGAAAAAAAAGAAAAAGTGTAGATTATTTTTTAAGCACTAATTGCATTACATTGGTAACTGCAATATGAAATAGCCATTATTGTTTTGTGAAGCATGGTTGAGATTAGTTAGTGGTCCCTTTTTAAAATTTCATGAGCCTCTCAAAAAATAAAAACAAATTTAAAAAAAAGCTGCTGAATATTCAAAAGATATATATTTTACCTTATTGTAGGTTTTGTAAATTTAGTCTGTAATATTCAGGTGCACCTTTTAATGTTACTTTTTTGTTTCAAAGTCCCATCTAATGTATTTTCTCTGAGGTGATTCATCACTTAAGACTAGTATCACTCTAAGTGCTGCAGTGATCACTTAAGATTTTGTTTCATTTTTCACTACATATTTTTTGCAGGCGCTTTCAGTGTAGCTAACTAGTAGTATTTGGGATCATTTTAAATATATGATTGGAATTAATGTTTGTCCATTAGCATGCTTAATTTTCTGCTGACCAGCAGTTTGCATGGCCAAAATCCCTGGTTGACCATATTTTGGTGTGGGAAGGTGTGGTTCACTGCGGTCTTTGTAACAAAAGCCTTGTTTCTCATCTTATTTCTGGTAAGTGGATGCTTATGTTACTTGGATCACTTGGACAGGAGAAAGATTTTTAAAGCCTTCTCCTACTGCTCTTCTGAGATCGCATTAACGTGTAACATAGACAAACTGCAACCCTGTAAAAATCGAGACATTGTTAGGAGGAGACCTTTCGGGTATTTTTTGTCACTAGTTTTCTCTTATTCCCGAGAATGTCCATCTGATGTAGTTATTGGACTTAACAGTATTGTTGTGTACTACGTTGATGTAGCTGAAAAAGCCTGACAGCAAGAAACTGTGAATTATATTTGTGGCAGTCTCTGAAAACTAGTTTTTCAGTCCAAGTACCATGAAGGAGAATCCCCCTCCCCTAGCCCATCCTAGAAAAGTAATTTTATATTTTGTGTGTATAAAGTTTTAAGAATCGAAGTTTCATATTGTACTGAAGTTTAGGTGTCGCTTGGTAAATCTTTGCTGCAGCATATAATTGAAGATGAGTAAGGCTTAGTGTGGTAGGGGTCCTGGTGTGGAGTTAATTATCGTACAGTTCTGGTGAGAAAGCCCAACATGTATGAAATGTGTCCTTTTTTTTTTTTTTTTTAATTTGGATTTGTAAGATGTAAAAGTGCTTTTTTAGAACTCTGACCTATTACAAACTATTACCTCACTTTCAGCCAGCTGGATCCTCATTCCACAGTGTTGTAGGCATTATTGTGGCTGTAATGCTTGAGTACAGCTATAGAGTTGAACGTTTCCAGTTAGATATTGTAGGGACACGTTTCTGGACTCGTTTTTATTTCTGTCTAAAGATAATTTATTTTCCAGTCATTCCCTGTTTTTTTTTTCTAAAGGTTCAAGATAGTTTCCTTTAGAATTTCTCATTTTTTTCCCTGTTGCACAGGAGAAATTGCTGCATAAGCAATACAGGTATGCCTTTACTGTCTTTTTCGTTGCAGAACTCCTAACTTGGTGCTTGCATTACCAACCCTACTGCTAGACCTGAATTCAAACTCTGAACCTTTTTGGCAGTTGGAGAAAAAATTATTTTTAACGATGCAGGGTACAGATAGGATAATGCCTCTAGCAAGGGAACACGTTCAGCTTGTGTTCTCTTGCACCTCCTGCATGACCTTTTTTGTAGAACTTTTCACTGCTGGAGGATATTTCTAAACACAGGAGGTAACTGCACTTGAGTTTAGACTGGATGAGAGCAGACAAGGAATTGTCTGTGCTTTGTCTTGTAGCAGGCCAACATTTGCATTGAAATATTTCTTTCGAGGAGTATATTGCCTTTCCTTGGAAATTCATGGGAGCTGGCAAAGTGATTCAGGGGCTTTAGGGTTGAGCAGGCTTTGTGAAACAACTTTTTAGTTCTGATTGAATTGCTTTTTGTATCATCTGCAACAATTGTTACACAGGCAAAACTGGAACTGCCATGTGTTTCTTTCCAGTTTACTTTCAAGTAATGCTCTTAAGATGTCCTTGAGTCTTAGGAGAAGAACACAGTGTCCAAGGAGTGAAGGGAGCACTCTGCTGTTCCCTTTTTTCTCAAAAACAGTGTGGCTGCATCTGTAATGTAAAGAACTCTTTCTTCAGTGAAGACAAAATTTGAACTCTTCAGTATAAGAATGCATACTCTTATTGCAGTCCAAAATCTTGTGAAGGCAAAATTATTAATCTTACTGAAAGATTGGTCATAATATTTTAAATAGCTTAAATTCTCTGCCAGATATTAGAAGTAGGATGGGAAGGGTTGTTACCCTTATTTTCATGAGGATCAGAAACCTCTAGGTATTCCCCACAAATGTTTCAGAAATTAAATGTAATTTCAGTTTAGGTCAATGTTGCTTTTTCTTGGCATCAGTACATAATGTTGGCTAATATTGTTTTAGAAAGCTGTAAGAAAATAATTTTGAGATTTGTTTTGGTACTATAAAGGTTTCTACTTGATCTTGAATTATATTGAAAATTCAGTAATTGGAACCTTCAGAAACCTAGAAATCTGCACTGCTAGTTGTATGCAGTTCTGATGAATGTAGCAGATAAAGTCGCCACTATAGTAACTCATTTCTGATTATCCAGTGTAAGAACACAATGCACTGTGATGACCACTAGGCAGAGAGATATTACAAACTCAAAACTTCACATATACCAGAAAAAGCCGTTAAGTACTTAGAGCATTCCAGTGTCCATCTCTCTCTCTGTTTCCTGTTCTTTCTTTGACTGGGGCCAAGTCTCTAAACCAGTATTACAGCAGCAGTTTTGGATCTCATGTCCTACTGAATTATGCCTATATTCAGGTATTGTCATAAAAACCTTCATATTAAGAGAGCTTTATTTAATCCTCACAAAATTCTCTTAGCCCAGTTGCAAAATCAGTTTTCCTGGGTGATATACTAGGAAGGAGGATTTTTTCAGCCTGTCCAGGGCATTTCATTTACCTTCTTGAAAACAAACATCCCCACCTGTGCCCGTATGCTTGTCTCTACTGAATTGGTAAGTATAATTTAGGAGGACTCAAGATGATAACTACCTTACAGAGCAGGGATTAGGACAAAGGCTTCATTCTGACCTGAGCAGGAAAAGTGAACATCAAAAACAATTTCTCTCATCATCACCTAGCACAGTTTATCTTAATATTTTTTTCCTACTCAGAAATAATGAGGATACTACTAGAGCTACTTAAACAGTTTATCAATTACTTGGTGCTACATTTCTCAAATAGTTTTGCAGATAATACTTTTTATGCCTGTTTAAAAGCATGTAAACTTTTACTATCACTAAAAAAAGCACTTGTCTGACCTATTCTAAAATATCAGAAAAGGGATAAATAACTGCAGCACTTTTTCTGTTACAATGCCAGAGTCTTAATTAAATCTGGCCTTCAGGTTATGAGATACTTCAAATATACAATGTAGGATCATTAACAGCTTGTCAGGTCAGATCGCAAGGTTTCTTAGGATATTAATCTGTCTTTTAAAGACTAGTAAAACAAAATATTCTGGAGTTCAGGCAGGGGATGTATATATACATGCCTGGTATTTTTAACTGATCATTTCAGTAGGCCATTTCAGGGCTTAACATTGGGAATCTGGGATGATGGGTAGGGAGGGGAAGTTTCCCAAACAGAAATAAAAAACCATTTTGGACCATTGTTTAATGTTCAGTTTGAAAACTATATCACAAGAATAATGGGTAGGGATTCTTTCTCCCTTATGCCTTCAGGGAATGAGTAGTATTTAGAATCTCTGGCTGAAATTCAAGCCTTTTTACCGTGTAAATTTTTAATATAAACTCATTGACATGCTTTTTACATCTGAGGACTGAAAATGGATCTTAATGTTTAAGTTGTGGAATGGTATATTTCTTAAATGAAGGGGGAACATTTAAAAAAATAGATTAGAATACCAGCATTAGTGAGCTTAAGGAATTTTAGTATGTAATAGCAAAGTATAGCAAAGTATTTGATTAAAAAATTAATCTTGAATTGCTAGTCTGTAACTAGGTGCATTCTAATTTAGCAGGTGAATATTCTTTACTTATCGATATATGATGGGCTTTTTGCAAATAGAAACCTTTATCTCAGTCCCACGTGTTGCTTGTACTGATGGGATGTATGCTTACAGCAGCTTACTGCTGCTTTAAAATGTATAAAATGTTTTGAGTGTTTGCTCATAACTCTTTCTAACCTCCACTTGTTAAATTGTCAGACATTGGTATTTTATCAGTCCGCAATGTAAGTTTAAACTAATGTTCTTAGGAATCCGACTTGTACACACACTGTTTAAAAACCCTCAGGGACAGTTTACACACTATCCTCACTCAATTCAGGTACTTGTACTCTCTTCTTAAACCTAGCAGTGACTTGTATTTTGTTTTGCTTTTCTTTTGACGTGCTGATAGCACATCCTTGATGAATGTCAACTTAAAACTCAGTTCAGGTATCCAGGTATAACTCAGCCAAACGGATTTTAAAGCTGCATATTTACTCTCCAGCACACAGTGCCTCAGACACTTATAGTGGCATTCTGTATATTCAGTTATTACTACTGAGCAGATCGCGTGGGGGTTCCTGGTATGTATTGTAAGAAATTCCTATGTATATTATATAATATGTATTATATTATATACATATATAGTATATATGTTATCTTAAACTTATATATTTTAAAATGCCACTACTAGCCAGCGCAGCTAAAAATGAAATACATTCCCAGCTGCCTCTGTGAACAGCAGAGGCAGC